AATTTGTTTCTTCTTTGTTTATTAATTAAAATTATTCTTTGGCAGTTTCACAAGTATATATAATACATACTTCCCACTCTTACCCCCACCCTCCCCCATTCCTGTCCACACCTCCTATTTGCCATAAATGTCTTCTTTACATTCATGTCTGTTCATTTTGTTTTGTGGCCCACTGTGTTTACCCAGGGTAACCTATGTGACCATGGATTTGGGGCTTCATCCTGAAGCTTGGTGAGCTCAGAAATGTGGACATGCCTAGCTGGGGTGGCTCACTCCTTTAATCCCAGCACTTGGGAAACAGAGGCAGGCAGATCTCTGAGTTGGAGATCAGCCTGATCTACATGACCTTGTTCCAGGGCAGCCTCCAAAGCTACACAGTGAAACCCTGTCAAAAAAAAGGAAGGAAGAAAAGAGAGAGAGAGAGAGAGAGAGAGAGAGAGAGAGAGGATATGAGGATCCAATTAAATACCATGGTTCACCCACTTCTAGAATCTATCCATAGCCGCAATAGTTCAGTGCAAAGAATAAGGTTCCAAGAGCCACTCCCCAGTCTATGGCTCTGTGTTGGCAGTGGCAGTCTTGTGCTGGCCCAGGGAAGATGCTCAATATTGCTGCGAGTTCGTGACTGCAGTGGTTCCTTCAGGTGCAGAAGAAGACAACATACAATCATTCATCCTATCTTCTGCTCTGACAGACTTCCAAGCCCTACTTCCTCTTACAGAGTGTATAACAGATCTGTACAATAGGGGAAAGAACCAGGTTTTCCATTTTGAGTGGGTTCCCCCATTTACTGGCTGAGAAAATGGAACGTCAGAGAAATAAATGACTTCTAATGTCAAGTTGATATTAAGTGCAAAAGCTGGGATTTGAGTATGGATTACCTCCAATGGGGTAATTAGGTCAGCAGTCATTCAAAAGATTAAATACAACTGGTTAGTGCCGAGTGGAAGGAGGGAAGAGCGCAGACTCTCCTGCCAACAGCAATATAGGAATTTAAACAATGAGCCACGAGTTCAGGTCCGGGAAATTAAAGAGGGAAATGACAGGGTTCAATGAAACAAGCATTCTTGACCATCTGTAATGGCAGTGCACCAGGAATCACCCCCCAGGAAGCAATTTGCCAAAAGCACCAAGAGGTGCTAATGTATTTGTTCTCTAACTCTCAAGGAAGCCACCTGAGGTAAGGGGAGGGCACCATCCTGATCATAAAAGGCTCACTAGTGGCCTTGCAGCTTAGAGGCGAGTCAAAAATCTAGACATTTTCCAGTGGCACGCACTCTAAGAAAGCCTCCCGTGCCCCCAAAATGGAAAGTTTATTTTTTTTTCTAATTAATTTTAATAGAGAAAGGGTTCCGTCAGAGGATATGGCAATGCAAATAAATTATTTAAAAAAGGATCTATTTGGAAAAGGGACTAAACACTCCCCAGCCAAGAGCACAACACACACAGATCAACTTGTAGTTCGGGTTGTGAGTGTGAGATGTCATTGTTCAGACAACTTATTCATTTAGTATATTTATATACGCACCTCCTTTATAAGTAAAACATGCTTTGCTATAGTGGACAGAGGCTGAAGCCCAGCTTGCTTGCTTCACACGTGCAGAGGAACAGAACTGATTGACAGCCACATGTGAAGCTTAATATGGTATTTAACATTTGCAAGGCATTCATCAAGGGGTCCATTTGAGGCAAAAAGTGGTCCAGATTTGTATCAATTTTCACTAGGGCTTCACTTATGCCTCTTTTATTTCAGCTGTGTTCATTGGAAGTGTGTGTTATGATTTATTCATTCAACAGATCTCGGTTGAAAGCTTATGATAAAACAGGAAACTGGCTTTTTTTCTATGAGGAATAAACAGCAACAATGCCATCAATAAACAGACAGAGCCCTTCTTCATCAGTATCCTAGGCAGGAAAGAATGGTGTTTAGTTATTGAATACACAACAGTACAATGGCTATGATCTGGTTGAAATTCTTGGTGCTTATAATGTTTCAGGGAAGAAAACATACAAAGATCTCTGCTGTCATCGAATACTCATTTTAGCACAGCCCAGACATACCACAGGCACCGTGCAGCGCATGTGGATGACTGCTGGGGGCACATAGAACACGGAAGGTCCCTCCCAGACTCCTGGTAGTGTCCCCACATGTGCCCTGAGAAATCCCCAAGTCACATGAGTTCTACAAAGCCCTGCATTGTTTGCAAGACTTGAAAATCCATTTTACAACTGACACGCATGGCTTTTTGCTTTGTACTGATGTAAGGCTGACCAACATGGACAGTGGCCAGCCATTACCAAGATCCTACATGAGGATATCCAGTAGTGTTTAGTAGTCATGTCAGTAGTCAAGCGTTAGCCTTCCATGGGCAATGTCACTTTCCCAGCAGCCTAGCAGGCATGGGGACTGACACTGTGCCTATGTGGATAAGTAATCTCACAAGTATAGGTGTGCAAGAACGCAAGCATGTAAGTGCAAGGTTCACAACTCTGGAACTCAGGAGTGCAAGGTCTAGAAAAGACCATCTTCCTGTTGTCTTTGGTTTTGACATGCGCCCTTTGCATGGTGAAGGGATTCAGTGGATACTCACTGTTGAGGAGTCTTATGGAGTGCTCAGGGAAGCACTCCAAAAATCCTAGATTTCCTTCATGAAGCCTCCATCTGGGAGATACAGGCTGATTTTACTCCCCAAAATTTAAAGACTAAGAGGAGATGAAATGACAGGAGAGAAGAGAGGAGGGCAGAAGAGAAGAGAGGAGGGCAGGAGAGAAGAGGGGAGGGCAGGAGAGAAGAGGGGAGGGCAGGAGAGAAGAGGGGAGGGCAAGAGAGAAGAGAGGAGGGCAGGAGAGAAGAGGTGGGGCAAGAGAGAAGAGAGGAGGGCAGGGGAGAAGAGGGGAGGGCAGGAGAGAAGAGGGGAGGGCAGGAGAGAAGAGGGGAGGGCAGAAGAGAAGAGAGGAGGGCAAGAGAGAAGAGGGGGGCAAGAGAGAAGAGAGGAGGGCAGGAGAGAAGAGAGGAGGGCAGGAGAGAAGAGGGGAGGGCAGGAGAGAAGAGGGGGGCAAGAGAGAAGAGAGGAGGGCAGGGGAGAAGAGAGGAGGGCAGGAGAGAAGAGGGGAGGAGACAAAAGAGGGGAGAAGAATGGCCACTATTACTGTTGTACACATAGCAATATCAGTGTCCATGTGTTGAAGACTTGGTTACCAGTGTGGCATCATGGGTAATGTTGGTGAGGGGCAAGCCCCTGTTGTGGAGGTGATGGGGAAGGTCCTTCTGTATGCTGTAAATGTTTCTCTTGTTGGTTGATGAATAAACCTGTTTTGGACAATGGACAGGCAAGATGTAGTCAGGCAGGAAGTATACGTGGGTCTGCCAAACTAGGAGGATGCTGGGAAGAGAAATGCAGTGAGTCACCAGGGAAAAACCATGTATTCACCAGGAAGGTAGGATGCCTTGACATTCTCCAGTAAGCCAAGACCATGTGGAGATACAAAGATTAATAGTTACGGTTTGATAATTAAGAGAGAGCCAGCCAATTGGCAAGCCTGAGCCACTGGCCAATCAGTTTCTACTTACTATAAGCCTCAGTGTGTTTATTTGGGACTAAACGGCTGCGGGACACGGCTGGAAAAGAAACTCCATCTCCATGAAGGAGTGTGGGATGCCAGGCTTTTTGTCTTTTGCTTCCTGGTTGCAAGATGATCAGGTCTACTTCACTGCAGGTCCCTGCTTTGATGTGTTGCCACAGACCAGGCCCTAAGGGATGTGGCTGGTCTAAGACATCCAAACTTGTAAGCCAAAATAAACCTTTCTGCTTTATAAGTTGATCATCTAGAGAACTCTTGTTACACCTCCCCAGGACTGCCAGCAGAAGCCCAGAGCATGTCCCATGGAAAAAAGCAATTAATTTTAAAAACCCATAAAAAGGTCCTCTCAGAACCACAGTTGTCTTTTGCCTAGAGTGCACACAGAGGGCAAAGACGCATGCCGCTGGGAACCCTGCTTCTAATCATGGCTTCTGTAGGTACAGAATGAGTCTACTTTGTATGTGTGTTTATGGCAGTGCACCTTCTCAGGACAGCTGGGGACAAGATGCCTCCTTCATAGCCTGTCCTGAGGCTTGTGCCTGCTGGGTGAGATGGGGGCAAACCCTCTTCAAGGCGACCCCCATCAGGAAGTGACTCTTCTCAGCCAAGTGAGTAGGCAGGGCCCATACAGCTTTCATGTCAACACAGCTTCTCAGTAGGGGGGACATGGCTTACAAATAAAGCACTTTGTTTGGCACAGCTGCTGAGGGACAGAGGACAGAGGATTTTCTTCAAGGCCCTGGCTCCTTTTTTGGCTGTATTCCTCATGCCCATGGTGATATTAGCCAGTAAGTGAGTTGATGGTTTGACCTGATGTGTAAACAAGTGTATAGATGCCAAAGGGGTCAGGAAACAAGTAGGTCCAGTTGGTAAGACCGTGTGGCCTGAGACTGCAACCTTTGTGACTTGGCATGCACCAGGGTTTGGAAGGCATAGAATGGGCTGAACTGCACATCAGCACCCTTCAGTGACCACAGGGACCCAGGGGCAGAACAGAGCAGAGCAGAGAGACTGCAGGAATGGCTGAGGGCATGAAGGACAGTGGAAGGACGGGAGTGAGGAGAGCAGCAGACTACCATACCTGTCCCACAGGAGCAAGGCTCCAGCCATCAGCGTGGCCTGCTGAGGATGGAGACCGAAGTCCTGTGCTTGGTCCTGGCACAGCCAGGCTGCTCCTGACCAGCCCACCATGAAGATGCTATTAGTATGCAAAGGGAAGAAGCTTACAGTATTTCACCTCTCCGGTTATCTCCAAGAAGCCCCAGTGGCAGGACTTTCTCAGCTCCTGCCTCTGCCTCCTTAAGCCTGTATTTAATCATAGACTAAAGGTGACTCCCCCGGGAGGTCAGTCATTACACTAACGATCCCACATGACGAGAAGCCGAGCATGCGTGCAGTGAAATATATGAAAAAATAAATAAAAGGCATTAATATTTTATTAACAACCTTAAAGACCTGCTAGAATAGAGTGTATTACACCAGTAATAAAAGGGATCATAACATTACGGAAACAGCAGTAAAAACAATTGCTTTCATCCATTGCAGACTTTTTCAGAGTCGAGCCCTGGATGGCCACCTACTGCACAAGGTTTTGTTATTCTTGCAATCAATGGACGTGCCAGGGAGGTCTATGCTCAGGACAGCTTCCCTGGCTCTGTCTGCTCAGGATTTCTCGAAACTCCAACTCTCTGGTGTCTTCTGATAGCTTGTTTCCTACAAAAAAAAAAAAAAATCCTACATGTTCCCTTCCTGCCCCCAGGCCACAGGGGCCCAGCTTTGCTGTGTGTTTGCCTGGGGCCACTAGGGTCCTTAAAGGAAGTGTTCTACATTCAGAAGACAGCGCCCCACTAGGTGCATTTCCTAGCTAGGCTGCAAGCTGACTCCTTGGTGTTCTCAGAGGACCCTGTTCCAAGGAAGAATGGGTCTGAGGTGTTGTCCCAGCAAAGGGGACATGGACTGCTGTCTGGCTGCCCTGCAGCACCAACAATGGGAGCTGATGCCTAGCAGGCCAGTCCTGAAAAGAAGGTTGAACTTGATTACAGTCTTCACCCATTCTGAAAGGTTACTAGCAGCCTTCTGATTGGCATTCATCATAAAAGACAAGATACACAGGCCATAAAAGTGAACCTCTTCACCATCTCAGAGGTCATAGTTTCCCGAAACACAGAATGCATGCCCTCAACTATGGCTGTTATCTCAACATCTTGATGCCGTCTTCCAAAGTGACTGTGCTCTAGACAAACAGTAACTCAGCAGCCCTCCCCACCAGCTGGGGTAGACTCTATTCTCATTTCTGTCTCTCTGAATCTGACTGCCCCAGGGACCTCACAAAAGTGGACTCATGCAGTATTAATGGATGGCTCATTTCACCTGACTGGTATAATATCCTTAATGTCCCACCAGGCAGTAGTATGTCATGGATGCCTTTCCCTTTAAAGATTGAATAGAAAACTCCTTTCAAATGCTTGGTCAAGTTAATTCAGGGGATTCCCAAAACAATATAGATTGTCCATGCAACCCTTTGTCGCCTTTCAGGGCTTGAGGGTAAGCCTCTATGGCTGAAGACAACACATATTTATAACACAAGGCTCAGATGACTCAAGTTGGATGGATCCACCTGAAAGCCTCTTTCTTGGAGTCTAGCTGCCATGATTCCAGAAAATACTACACAAGCTGCTGTAGGGGGACACTGTAGCCCTGCCTCCTAGTAGCCTGGACAGGTATGCTGGGACACGCCCATGAGGGCGTGATGAGGGTAGCCTAAGGTGACAGGAACAGTTCTTAAGGGACCGTGCACTCGTGGAGAGTCCCTTCTCCCTTCTCCTTTCTCTGGCCTGGCTGCCTTGCTGCCCCTGGCACACTCTGGCTTGAGCTTGGCTGGTGTTTATCTGAATAAAGAAAGCTTAGCCTTACGGAAGACAGGGAAGCAAATAATAGTCCTACCCAGTTTCAATGTCTGTGGTCTACAACTACCAACATGGCAAGCAAGCTATGTATAAAGGCACAGTAAGTGCCACTCACATGTTGGTGGCAACCAACGTTGGTGGCAACCAACAACCATCTAATCAGACTTGAGGCCCAATCAACCAACAGGAGGGAAAACAGGCCTAGTCAGCTTTCTAGAGTTAGTGACATCATGGACCTTAGAAAATAATCTACTACCGCCCCTTTGCTAGGCCAGCACCATTCCTTACTACATTTTATCCTTATACCTACAGGCAAGCAAAGAAGATTAACTTCACAGCAAATGGACACTCTCACACAAGAACACAACTGGACACAATGCAGGGATCAATGGATACATCTGAGAATCAGGGGACATCTGTAGAAAACAGAATAGAAAGGTTGTAAGAGTCGGAATCCCAGGAAGTCTGCTTTGAAACAGTCTCTCCTAGAGATGGCTTCATAAGTAAGACCAGAACAACGGAAATATCAATAGACATGTTAACACTCAAGGGGGAATGTCAAGGGGTCCCACCTTTAGACAAAGAACTACAGTCAACAATGACTGCTAGGAGAAGGGGAACTACCCTGTCCCAGGAATGAGCCCCTTATTGCTTATCCCATGCAGAGTAGTCAGCCATATGCACTCAAAGAAACTAGACTCAGAATGTTGTACTGTTATATTTGTTATCATACACGTGTGTGTGTGTGTGTGTGTGTGTGTGTGTGTTTGTATGTAACAATCATAATAAAAGAAAGGCTACCAACTTAAGAGTGAGTGGGCACATGGGAGGGTATCTGGGAGAGAAGGAATGGGGAAAGGGGTGTAATTCTATTTCAACTAAAAACAGTGAAATAAAAAGAAATTAATAGATGTATTTAACACAACATGCACAAAGTACAGGGGGAGACAGAGCATGATACCCTTTAGGACCACCCAGGAGGAAGCCATCTTCGCCTTTTAAGACTACATAGCAGTCCACTATGTGTGGACTGTACTTGTGGATCTATGGATATACACTCGGTTTGCCCCTCTCTTGAGATGTTCTATTGCTGCCCACGCTCTCTCTCTGTCTCTGTCTCTCCCTCTCTCTCCATATGTCTCTTGCTGTCTCTCTGTCTCAGAGGTTCTCCATCCTTCTGTTACAGGCTGTACTTCAACTGCTTTTTACAGACCCCTCCCCCATGTTAGGAAGGGTGTTCTGCTTTTCTTAGCTTAGCGATTTAAATACCAGAAAGCCCCTTGCCTTTGGACTCAAACTAAAAGTCCACTACTCCTGGCTATGGAGTCACTAGCCTCTAATTAACACTGGAGAAGGGGGGAACCCAGAGACTCTTCTGCTCACTCTGGGAAATCATGGGAGTTGCCCCCTTCCTTCCTGAATCATGTGAAGCAATTTATTACAATTAAGCACTATTTGTTTCTTGCCTCTGACTCTCTCTCTCTCTCTCTCTCTCTCTCTCTCTCTCTCTCTCACACACACACACACACACACACACACACACATACACACACACACACACACACACACCTCCTGTTATATCTGCATGTCTAGAGAGCTCTGACCCACATGGTGGCAGCCTTGGAGGCCACTCAAAGCACAGGCAATGAGGTGGTAAGTTAGGGGCAAGTCACCAGGAAGAGCCACTTGTATGATGGCATTTCTGAAGTTCCCATGGGTCTGTCTCTCCCTGGAAGCCTGGTGGATTCCTTTCCTAGAGTGTCCACAGCAAAGCGACAGAGATGAGGAGTTTAAATGACGTACACTTCATGTCACCGTTCAAGAGACAAGAGGGCAGAGATCCAGGCATGAGCAGGTCGGGCCCTGAGGTTCGAGGGCTCCCTGCTCCAGGCCTCTGCCCTGGTACCTCTGGCATTGCTGACTTGGTAACAGCAGCATCTCAGCCTCCATCTCCACCTTCCAACAGCATCTTTGTGTCCTGCATCCTAATACCTCCCTTTTCGAAGGGTGCCAGTCCCACTGGGTAAGGCACCCACCTCTCTCCAACGTGGCTGATCAGTGATATTTGCAAGGATCTTGTTTCCCCACAAGGCCACACTTGGAAGACACAGCAGTCAAGACTTCAATAAATGAACTCAGGTGTTGAGTGCGCAATTCATTCCAAGGTAGTGCGTGACCTTTGCTTCTGAGTGTGGGATACCTACACTACCTAGGTGTTCACACTCATTCAGGCTTCAAGGCTGTGCTCTCACCAAGCCACTCACAGTCCCCACCTCTGAGAGACTGAGAAGTAATTCAGCCTCCTCTCCCTGTTCTGTCTCCCAGCCTGGAGGCTGGTGAAGTCCAGCCCATGCATTATTGATGGACCTCCAAGCTTGCCAAGCTGCCAGCCGTGTGTGTGTGTGTGTGTGTGTGTGTGTGTGTGTGTGTGGTGTTTCACAGAGGGAAAGGGGCTGACAAAAAGCCTTTGCAACAACTGCCCATCTGGTTCCCTGGGCTCCTGCTTTTATTAGGACATGCCCAGCCTGCTCTCCAGGCACCCTCCCACAGTGCTGGGGAGCCTTAGCAAAATGGGAGTGGCTTTTGAACCCCACTGAATAAACACAAGATGAAACAGCATCTAGCACACAGCAACCTGCTTTCAGGGTTCCAACCCAGCTGTGCCTATGCCTCCTCGACCCTGTAAGACCAGGACACAACTTTGTGACCCCACGCCTGCACACCCCTCCCTCTCTGTCCCGACCCCCTTGCCTTCTGCCTTCCCACCCCCACCGATGCTCACAAGTCTTCCTCAAAGACTCCAGCACTTACAGTTGTCAAATGATTAAATATTTATAATCAGGGCACTGAGTGGGGTGTTGAATAATGAATGGTAAGGTCAAAGCTGCCTTAGATAATTTCTACAGACGTCTTCATCCATGGACCCTTCGACTCCAAAGCAAAAACAAACAAAAATAAATATCCTCTCATTAACATTCTTTTCACCAACTTTTATGGGGGTTAAAAAAGTACTTTTTGGGAGCCTGCATCTATGACAATTGACAGGCCTTTATCACCATTGGTTCCTGAAGCTCTGCCCCCTTCTTTTTCTGATTCCGTACCCTACCCAGTCGCCAGCCTTCAGATTGCACATGCCTCATTCTAAGGATGGACCCTTCCTTGATTGTTTCTGAATACCAGGAAGGGAAACAATTCTTTTCAACTCAAATCCCTAGACCAAGAGTGCAATGGCCCCTGGCATATAGAGGAACCCACTCTTTTCCTTGACCCAGAACAGGCCGGGACTCTGGCTGCTCAATTCTCCTGCCATGCCTTTGTGGAAGCTGCTGGGGTTACTCTCTTTTTCACAACCGAGGATGCTGAGGCTTGGAGAGCCTCAATTAGTTTCTCAAGGTGCATTGGAGGGACATGTTAGGTCTTGGATTTGGACCTTACCTGTGGCCCTTACAACTCACCTTTCATTACGCTAGACAGGTCCCATCAAGGGGTAGGAATAATAAGGAGACAGGTCCCAAAAGGTTTGGAGACAGGTTCCACCTGAGTTTGGAGGAAGAAGAAGAGGCATGGAGAGTGGGGGCCACAGATAGATCGCCTAGCCTCCAAACTCAGGTGGAAACCTGAGCCCAAGTGTGATGTGATTTAGATATGGGACTTTTGGAAAGACATTAGGAGTCTTGTGAATGGGATAGCACCTTTATAATTAAGACTGTAGAAATGCCCCTTCCCCTTCAGTCATAGCCATAGGAGGCTGCACTGAGAAGACCTGTCTGAACAGAAACTGGGCCCTACCCCACACCAGATGTGCTGGCATTTTAATCTTGGACTCTCAGCCTCCAGAACTACTGTGTATAAGCCACCCAGGTTGTGACAGTTTGTTCCAGCAGCCCAAAGTGACTGAGGCGGATGGTAGTGAGAAGTGGGGGTACTGTAACATACATGTCTTAAGTGGCAGAGGCAGCTTTGGACCCGGGGCTGGAAGAGTTTGAGCGTATGCAAGGAGAAAAAGGACTGATAACACCATGTCAACTCTAAGAACAGGGACCTCTGTCAGGTGTCATCCATGGATCAAAAGGAGGCCACACATATAGGAGGTACTGGGAACATGTGTTTGAGTTAGCATGAACAAAAAGCAATTATTTATCAAGTAAGAACAGAATGTGCTTCACAAATGACCCAAGGTTGCAGTGGTGGCACTCATATCCTCATGGGAACCAGCAGCTGTCTAATTAGAGTTAGGGCCCAGTCAAGAGAGAAATCATACATATTATAGTGGGAAATTACCAATACAGAGTCAGGTAGAAATATAAGGGTATTTAATAGGGAAAAGCCTTACTTGCAGAGCGACCTAGCCAGCCGGCGTGGCAGCAGCCTGTCCAGCAAGAAGCAAAGTGAAAGCAAAAGAACAAACGCAGTCCCCCTACATCGCCCTGACCACGCCCTCTCAAGCTTGTGAGGGCGTGGTCAGGCACACCTGTAGCCAGCCCCTAAGTAGGCGTGGCTACAGCTTCCCCTACAATTCCCCTTTTAGTCTAAAAGAGGATTAAAACTTAACAGTGTAAAGTATCCAAAATTAACAATCATAAAGGTAAAATATAAGAAGATACAGATATTTGCTTATGTCACATCATAAATATCTATTTTAACTAAACCCTAGAGTCACTTGAGAGAGGTGTCCAAGCCTGAACACCTCCTTCCAATCCCAACCAATGTAGCCACGCCTACTTAGGGGCTGGCTACACATACCTGTTACTGGAAACCTAGCTGACCACCAGGACCATGGGGTCATGGATCATAGAGGAAAGGCACTTTCTGCTACTTCACTAAACCAGCACAGTTTCTTAACTGGACTCTAAACACTTACTTTGCTCCCAAAAATAAGTGTGGCCTTCACCCTTCCACAAAGAGACTTCTCTTTGCAACAGACAGACGATTATAGAAAACCAGAACCAATGGAAATGCAGGATACAAGTACCTGGTTCCAATGAATACATCTACAGTACAACTCCCATGCCTATGGTCAGGGGACACCATGGAAGAGGGGACAGAAAGATGGTAAGATTCCACCAAAGGAATAGGATGTCTTCTTTGAGCTCACACCTCCCAGACATGGCAGGGAAAGCTTCACCTGTGCAATCTCCACAGCAAGGCTGTCTAAATAAACGTCAACACAGAGCTAACCTGGAAGGGGAAAAATCTCATGGGTCCCCAACCCTAGACAAAGAACTATAAAAACTACAGCCGGCTAAGGAGGGCTTAGAATGCACAAAATAGTCTTTTCCCGTGCAATATAAAGAGGTCAGTCCTGAGATCATATACACACAAGTGACATATGTACGGAGCAGATTTCCGTGAGTGTGTGTGTGTGTGTGTGTGTGTGTGTGTGTGTGTGTGTTCCTATGTAACAATGATTAAAGAGGC